TTCTTTTTTTTTTTTTTTTAAACTTTTTGCTATAGGACTTGTACACTCACCAGAGAGAGGGGAAAACCAGTGAGAAGTCACTCCCCAGAGTGGATGGCCATGCTGAAACCCTTTCTCCTCTATTCTCCTTTTGAAGTTTTGGACATGTACACACATGCCCCCAATGTAATTTTCAAACCACCAGATCCAGGACTCAAACCACGCAACCAGTCATGTGGGATCCAGCCCCTTAATCTCTATGCCACCTACTGGCCCAGGGCCCATAATTTGTTTTCTTTTCTAGGAGAGATTTTTTGCTATAGGGCACATGTACTTACCGGAGAGACAGAGAGACAGAAAGCGAGAAATCACCCCCCAGGGAGAATGGCAACACTACAATTCCTTGTCCTCCATTCTTCTCTTGGAATCTTGGGCATGTTGTGAGTTTGAAGTCACCAGATCCAGGACTCAAACCGCAGTCGACTACATGGGAGTCCAGCTACATAACCATTCCGCCATCTACTGGTCTCCTAGGGTCTATAATTTCTAAACACAAATTTTGCTGGTATTCTAGACAGAGCAGTCTCAGACACTCTTGATACTAAGGAACCCATAATACCCTCTTTCTCAAATTTATCTACCTGAGGCCTCCAACTGGACCCTAATTAATTCCTGTCAAACACCCAATTCAAACTTTGGATTCCAACTCTGATTCTAGACCTAGTCTGGAAGCCAGTGCATTAGACTGGACCTTGTCTAGTTCCTGTTGAACACTCAGTTCAACCTCTGGATCTAATTGGAAATCAAATTGCTCAGATAAACTCAGATTGGTCAGGATGCAAGTTGCAGAGCTCAATATCTGAGAGAGACATACACAGCAATCACCAAATAGAGAAAGCAGTGAGCACAATTGATTCTGTGAGTCCTCACACCCAGTCATTTGTTACTCTTAGGAGTCATTAGGACCTCCTTCCAATCCCATTCTTTGGACACTAGACTGTTAAAAGAGATAATTGAGATACAGTAAAATTTTAAAGAGTTTATTTGAGTAAGAAATAATTCAGGTGGGCCAGCAGGTGATGTGGTGGTTAAAGCACTGGAGTCCCATATGACCAACCATGGTTTGAGTCCTGGATCTGATAGCTTGAAAATTATACTGGGTGCATGTATGTGCATGCCCAATATCCTGATGGGAGTATGGAAGAGACAGGATTGCATCATGGACATCCTCCCTGGAGGGGGAGATTTCTCACTTTTTCTCTCTCTGTCTCTCTCTGGCAAGTTCATGTGCCCTATGGCAAAAACCTAAAGAAAAGAAGAAAAGAAATAATTAATAAATTGGGGAACATTAGAATGAAAGTGCTCCAATAATAAAACATTAGACACAAATACTTGTTGGGAAACTGCTGAAACAAAAAGAAACGATTTCATTGGCTTGCAAATACAACATCGTCTTTTTTAGGTACTTTGTTGGAAAGTCCCTAGTCACATAAGCATGTTAGGTGACTTAAACTCATGCCGGGCACGTGTGCGTGCATGCCCAAGGTCCAGAGAGGAGAATGGAAGAGAAGGGATTGCAATGTGACCACCCCCCCAGTGGGTGATTTCTCTCACTTTCTGTCTCTCTGTCTCTCTCTCTCTCTCTGTCTTCCTGGAGAGCACGTGTGCCCTTTAGCAAAAACCTCTCCAAAAAAAAAAAAAAAAAGTGACCCAGGTTAAGTTGACCCAAGTTAAAGTTTGGTTATGTTTGCAACTTAAGCAAGATTAAGGCATAAACAACCGAAGAATAAATAGATACATTAGACATTATGAAAATTAAAAGGTTTTGTGTCTCAAAGGACACCATCAAGAAAATGAAAAGACAGGGACAGAAGGCGGCATAGTGGTTAAGACACTGGATCCCACATGACCATATCTACAGTTCAAGTCCTGGAACCAGAAACTTGAAAAACACACCAGGGGCAGGGGCATGGATATGCATGCCCAAAATCCAGTGAGGAGAATTTAGGAGAAGAATTGTGGTGTGATCATACTTCCTGGGAGGTGGTTTCTCACTTTCCCTGTCCCTGTGGCTCTCTTTGTCTCCAGCAAGCACACATACACTGTGGCAAAAAAAATATTTTAAAATAAAATACTAAAAAATTAAAGAAAGGATTTCAACCACTGAAGACCCTCTGCCTAGAGTTCACCCTCCTGCTCCCCAGTCTAGCCAGGAGTCAGGTTAGATCACCCTACTTATTTTCTCTGTCTCTTTCCATCTCTCTCTCTATATATTTTTAATCCTTTTTTAAAAATTTATATTTAGCTCTCTGCTGCTCTTTTGTCTTTCTGATTCTTACCTTTCCCTTGCCTCCCCATAGGATAAGCCAATCAGCCACCATCTATATGTGAGTTCCAAGAGGTGCCGCAAGATTTTTATTTTTTGACCAAAAAATTTTTTTTCTTGGGACCAGCAGTTAGCATAATGGCTGGGTAGCTGAACTCCCATGTAGTTGACTGCGGTTCAAGTCCTAGACCCGGTAGCTTAAACTCACACTGGGCGCGTGTGCGCCCAAGATCCCGAGAGGACAATGGAGGAGAAGGGATTGCAGTGTGGCCATCCCCCTGAGGGGTGATTTCTT